CCCTCATTTTCTATTTTAAAAATATGCGGTGCAGAACTGTGGGGCTTAGAGATAATAAGGGGAAAGGAAAAATGTGATTATCTTCCTAATCTGATATCTGCTTTTGAACATCTATATGAGATTGCATATTTTGGACAATACATGTGGTATTACATGTGATAGTACAAGATTTTGTTTTGTAATTTTTCATATGTAGATTTTGTACCTATAAGAATCCTTGTACTAGTGGGACCATGAGATGTAAACTATATTTCCATGTAATGAAATATGTGTTATATGCAAATGTGGTGTTTGGGGGTGTTACATGTTAGTTAAACCAGAGGCTCTATATCTATAGATAAGAGCTATGTGTCAAAATTATACTTTATAAAAGAGTTTTCAAAAAGGTTTTATACTTAGAAATTTCCTTATAAGAAAGACAAATCAAAGGGGCTCTGGTTGGCCTACGCGGGTTGAACCAGAAGCTCTGGTTGGTCTTGCATTTTGAGCCTCTTGGGAAACTATTTTCTTATCTATGATATTGATCTCTAAACATTTTGAGAATTTTGGTTAAGTAAGAGGCTTTGGTTAGCTTAACCAGAAGCTCTAGTAGAGGAACCAGAGGAGCTCTGGTCCTCTTGTTTTTTAAAATATTTTCTAAGTCTGGTCTTTGGAACCAGAGATTCGATGGACTCAAACAGAATGTAGATTTACATATTGAGATGTGAAATGATTTAATTAAATAAGGTTTTGGTGATTTTCACCCTGCAATTATATGGAAAAAGGAAATCTCACTAGACCTCTAGGTCTAACCCTCATTTTGTGTTTTCAAATATGTATTGCAGGAAATGCTAAATAAAATGATAGTAAAGGAAAAGGCAAATTGTGAATTATGTCTCTATGTGCTTAGCCTTATGAAAATGGAAGGATGCATTTTGATATTGAATGATATGTAGTACAAGAGCATGTATTTTGGAATTTTTGAGTTGTATATTTGGTAATGTAGACTCTTGTATTGTGGACCTTTGTAGGCTTGATCATGTATTCTATGAATGAATTTTGTGTTATATGCAATATGAGTTTGGGGTGTTACATTTTACATACGCCTTCTGATTGTTTCCAAAATTAACAGTGCCACAATGTTTTTTTTTTAAGTTGGTCAGCAACTGTTTATAGCGTGTCAAGTGTCTTGAGCATCTAGAATCCAAAATCTCACACATGACAGACCTATACAAAGAGATCACTTGATTTTAGGTACCCATTTGTAAATGGGTCCCTTGGGGTTAGTGGAAGATAAACCTTTTGGTTTCCACACTTTGATTATCCTTTTTCCAGATTTTGTTTGAATTATTTCAGTGTAAGTTTTAATCTGCCACTTCATTATTGGTTTGTTGAATGGCAAATTGAAGTTTGGATTCTGATTTTTGTTCGTTCTGTTAAAGTTCCTTGTTGTCTTGAATTCAGATTTGAAATGGCTCTTTGGATGGAATGATTTTTTATAAGAGAATTTGTCCTTTTTGATCCACTTTGGTTTGAAAGAATTTTGTCCACAATTAGTATAATGAATATGTTTCTTGAGCAAGGAAATCATCTTGGTACACATACATTTTAAAGAATTATGGCCATAATATTTATCAGAAACACGAGTATTATTGTTCAAAGGTTTCAAATTCCCAACAAAATTAGATTTATCAAAACTAAAATTAAAGGCTTCTTTATCTCTTCATTCTTCCTTCCTTTCTTCTTGGCTTTCTTACTTAAAGGTCCTTTTCCTTTCTCTGAAAAAGATGAAGACTTTGAATTAGATCATTTAGACTTCAAGTTCTTATTTTTCAAATTGATTTACTTTTTACAACCTGAAGTCTCACCTTTTTCAAAGAATTTGGGATTGGTGTGAAAGTGAGAGATGGGAACAATAGAAGGCTTAATTTTTGTAACTTTTAGTTTAGAAGAAACTTTTTCACATTCATACTTTATGTTGGTTTCCATCTCTATTTCTTCATCACACTCAGACTCATTCATCATTTTATCAAATTTGACTTGAGTCATGTTCTTTATGAATTCACAAAGATTGATTGATTTTAAGCTTTGAGATTCAGAGTTTTGTGAGGAAGTCTGGAAAATCTCTTCAGAGTTGGATTCAGAGTTGTAATTTCTCTGGACAATTTATTCAGAAATCTGAATTATCTCTAGATTTTTAACTTCAGATTTAAATTCAGGTTTTGAGTATTGTCCTGAGAATTCATAGTCTTTTATATGAAAATTGTAGTTCTTTATTCTCATAGCCATTATTGAGTCCAAAGTAGTCAAAACCAAGTGCATTTTTTAAGTCTTTTCCACAACTCTAAATTACAGATTTTTCAGATAACACTTCACATTTGATATCTTCTTCATAGGTAGATTCAAATTTAACAAAGAAGTGTTCAAGAGGGATATTTTCAACAAGGTTTTCAGAAGTCCGTTTTGTAGTAAGTTTTCAAAATGATTTGAGATCCTCCCATTCCAGAGAAGTCATAGAGATTAGTAGGCACCTTTTTTTAAAACAGAGTTTCATTTAATCCTAATCCTATCTTTGGATTGTAGAACCTGGTATCCTTGGGATTATTGGTTAGAAAGTTGAAAGTCTGTTAAGTCTGACCTCTTTTGAAGTTCAATTCCTCTAATTCCTCAATCTTTTTATACAAGTCAATTCTTTCTTTTCAAATAAATTCATATTGAACTTTAAGAACCTCACTGTCAATTTTCATTTGTTCAAAATCCTTTTTCAAATCAGTTATTTTCTCAGATAAATTTGTTCTTTCAATTTCTAGATCTTCATTTTGCTTTTCAACAAACAAATAATTTTGTTTATAGCACTCTTTCTCTTCTCTAAATTTGTTGACTATAATTCTTTCTCCTTTGAGTCTCTTTTTAAGGTCCTCAAATTCAGAGTTCATTGATTCTAACTTAGTAAGCAGTTCAAAGTTAAGTATATTTACCTCCTCTAAGTCAGATTCTGAAGTCCCTTCTTTTTCCACATATACCATAAAGCATGACCTTGCGTAATGAGTAGTTTCTTCATCTGGGAAGACCATTCAAGCCAGTTCTCTTCTTCAGCCATAAGAACTTGGCCTTGCTTCTTCTTCATTGCCAGGTTTAGCTTTTTGGAGTAGTAGTCTGAGTCCCTAAACTTTTTGAACCTACACTCCCAAGCAAGATGTCCAACCTTTCCACAGTTGAAGCATCTAGGGCTTCACTTTCTTTCTTTTTTTTGCTCTCTTCTCTTATTTGTATTTTCTTGTCAGATACATGTTTCTTCTCACTGTTTCCCTTCTTCAAGTAGACACTAGATTTAGAGTGACTTCTTTTTGCAAACTTTTTATTGAAGGCCTTCGTGAACAGAGCTAGATTTTCAGTCATCTTCTTCAACTCAATGTCAGAGTCATCATTTCAGAACCAGATGAGGGGCCTACCATTGGGATTTCTATAAGATTTTAGGCTCTTTTGGAGCTTCTTTTGTACTTTCTCTCAGAGATGAGAGCCAAGGAATCATGAATCTTCTTTTTCTAAGACATCCTTTCAATGACTTTTTCTTCTTGTTGATTAAGTATGCCAAAGATGTCATAAATACTTTTTATGGCCAGATTATTTTATTAAAAGATTATCAGCACAAATATCCCATTCTAGCCTAAGATTTTTAAAAAAAATTATTAATTTCAGAATTGATCTTTTGCACACTATTCCTTCTTATGTCATTGAGTTTCCCATAAGTTTCAGAGAAAGATTCTAATTCCCTAGCCCTAAAGCCCTCATAGGCTCCTATGCAAATATTTACCTTATTTTGCATAGCCTTTTCTCCTCCTTGCATCTGGGACTCAACTTCATCCCACATAGCCTTAGCAGAAGTAAGGTTGTCTACCCTGTTGAAGATCGCATTAGGTAGAATAATTGTGAGAAGAGTGAGTGCCCTTCTATCAATTTTCACTCGTCTCATCTCCTCTTCATTATATTTCCTTAGATCCTTTCTGATCCTTGAAGCAGGGATTTCAGGAGTGATGTTTGTTTTTTCAACAACCAGAATTTCGATGAAGAGATCCATGGACCCATTCCAAATTGATTCCATGAGTTCTTCATCGATATTGTCCAAAAATTGGATCATACGGATCCTCCATAGGTGATATTCTTCTACGAAGAGTGATGGAAGTTTGGTCTTTGACCCGATGCTAACGTACTCTTTAGACATTCTTTATAGTGAGATCGAAAACGATAGTATGGAATAGAATTCGACAGTTGCAGGCTCTATTACCATTTGAAAGTTCCCGTATATCAAGAATATAAAGAACAATGTAAGAACAAAGAGTATTAACAGATCAAAACCTCTGACTGCTAATACTCTTTGTTCTTACGTTATTCTTTATATTCTTGATATACGGGCACTTTCATAGAGTTTTAAGACGTCACCTTTTCCATTTTCCACTTCTAAAAGATGTGAGATTACTTGTTTGAATTTTTTATCATTTCTTTTATTATGAGTTCATTTATTTCTAGGGAATCTTCTTACAACCCCGAGTCAATCAAGTTAAACTATAATGATGTCAATGTAAATAATAGCACAGATCAATGAGACAATTAAGCATTTTCATCAATCAATCATATAAATCAAATTATTTTGCTTTATTCTCTATTTATTTGTCTTTGTACCTATTTATAGTGAGTAATACAATATCTCTCCATCAAGGAGTTTTGGAAGAATCCATCTTTACATGGTTATCAGCCTTCTTTCTTTGACCTATAGCCGCCAATCACATAATCCATTTCTTTTTTCCATTTTTCTTTTCTTTCTACCATGGCTGGATCATCTTCCTCAACCATCATCGGTGGTACGGATGTGCTTCTACTCTCAACCCTCATACGCATGATCACCATCAAGTTATCTTCCTAAAACTATATGCTATGGCGTAACCAAATCTTTCCTATTCTCCATTCCTAGCGAATGATCGGCTATGTAAATGGCTCTAAACCATCTCCTCCCATGGAGGTTGTAGAAACCAATAATCGATACATTTATTTCTTATTAACAAAAGATTTACAAATACAAACAAAATACATTACAGAAATTATTCAAAGAATCAAAGCTAAAGTAGCTTGAAGGAAGAATAATATAGAGATAAGAGAAAGTATTTGAAACAAATGAAAAAATGAATTGTATGAAGAAATGAACGGCCAAGAAACTCTTTATATAAGTATTGAGAAATGGCAGAAATGGTCCTTCTAGATTCTGGAAATTTGCTCCACTACCCTTCATGTTTCCCCATAAGCGAGGCGTAGTCCTCGTACTTGATACACCCAGTTTTATGCATTTGACAGATATAGTCCTTTAAAACAGAAAAAGGATTATCAGAAGTTAAAATTGTAATAAAGTCCTATATTTTAACACCCTCCCTCAATCTTTACTTTTGAATAAATCGATCATTGTCAACTTAGAACACAAGTAGTTATAATGATTTATACCAATAGCCTTTGTAAAGATATTAGCAGGTTGTTCAGAATACAAAATTTTTACAATTTTTAACAATCCTTTATTAATGTTTTCTCTAAATTGATGAACATCTATTTCAATGTGTTTAGTGCGCTCATGGAAAACTTGGTTATTAGCAATCTGAATTGCAGGTTTATTATCACAAAAAACAGGAAGAGGTAATAAATCTGAAACATTTAAATCTTTAAGAATTTTTAGAACCCATAAGACCTCACAAGCAACAGAGGCCATAGCTCTATATTCTGACTCCGCGGAAGAATGAGAAACAGTACTTTGTTTCTTCCTCTTCCAAGAAATCATAGAATTTCCGAAAAAACAGACAAAATCCAGTTACCAAATGTCTAGAAGAAAGACACTTACCCCAATCAACATCGACAAAGGCAGTTAAAGAAAACTTTTCTGTTTTAGTAAAGCTAACACAATTACCTGAACTCAATTTCAAGTACCTGAGAACTCTAAGAGCAAGATTTAAATGAGACTGTTTAGGTGAATGCATAAATGGACTCAAAAAATGAATAGCGAAAGCAATGTCTAGTCTAGTAGCAAGAAGATAGATCAACTTACCAATCAGTTTTTGATAACCAGTATAATCAGACAAAGGAGAATCTTTGTTACAATTAGAATCAGATATAACTAAATTTCTATCCATTGGAGTATTACAAGGTTTGCAACCTAAATATCCAATTTCATTTAGTAATTCTAAACAATATTTTCTTTGAGTCATACAAATTCCATTCACGCTCTCTAGAATTTCAATACCTAGAAAGAATTTTAATTTTCCCAAATCTTTTATAAGAAATTTGCTTTTTAAGAAAACTTTAACCTTATCAATTTCAGATTTATCATTCCCAGTAATGACAATGTCATCAGCATAAACTAACAAGACAAGAAAAACAGATTTATACTTAAGGAATAGTCATTCATACATTGAACGAAACCATGTTCAATTAAACAAGATGATAGTTTGGCATACCACTAACGTGGAGCTTGCTTTAATCCATATAGAGACTTAACAAGTTTACAAACATGTTTATCAGTTTCATTATAGTAACCTTCAGGTAAGCTCATGTAAATTTCTTCAATTAAATCACCATATAAAAAAGCATTATTAACATCTAATTGATACAAGCTCCACATATTTTGAACAGCTAAAGATATAATGCAACGTACAATTACCATTTTTACAACAGGCGAGAAGGTTTCATCATAGTCAAGACATTCTCTCTGACTGTATCCTTTAGCAACTAGTCTAGCTTTGTATCTTTCTATTTCCCCAGTAGATTTGTATTTTATTTTAAAAACCCATTTGCAGCCTATAGGCTTTCTACCTTGAGGCAAGTCTGTTATAATCAATGTATTATTTCTATGTAAAGCTTCCATTTCTTCATTCATAGCATCTATCCAATTAATATCAGTACAAGCTTCACGAAAAACTTTAAGTTCAACAGGCTTGTTTAGATTAGACACAAAGCATAAGTTTTTAGTTGAAAGATAGGAATAATTGACAACTTTTTCTAATCCATATTTCACATTCCCTTCAACAACAAAGTCATCAAATTTTTGTGGAAACACCGAGACTCTAGCAAACCTTCTACTAGGAAGACCCAAAGCAAAAGGTGTACGTCGAGTAGCCTCAGGAATGAGACTTGCAACATTTCTTTGAGAACCGATAGCCTCATCTGAGCTACTCAGAAGTTGCCATCTGGTAACTCTTTCAAGGTTATCTTCAACATTAACTGAAGGACCTTGATTCAGATGTTTATTTGAGCTGCCTAGAGGCTCCGCATTGATAGCTCGGATTTGGCTACCTAGAGTTCTTTCAACATTAGGGACATAATCAGACTAATTAATGGTATTATTACCAGAGTTGTCTCCATTATCATCACTGGGTAGTGAATCCACAATATCATTAGATGTGTCATTCAAGAAATCAAAGAAGTTCAGCCTACTAGCATCATTATTAAGGTCATCTTCAGACCTGTTCATAGTCATCTTAAATGGAAAAACATTTTCATAAAACTTGAAATCTTGCAAAATAACAAACTTTTTAGACTCTAAACTAAAGAGTTTGTATCCTTTCTTTGAATTTGCATATCCTAATAAAACACATTTTTCTGATCTAGGGGAAAACTTATCTGTGATATTTGGTATTATAGCAAAAGAAAGACACCTAAAATTCCTAAGATGACTAAGAACAAGTTTAAAGCCATAGAAAAGTTCATAAGGCACAAAAGAAGGAGTCTTATTTATTAAGTAAGTAGCAGTGAGAATGCATTCACTCCACATGTTTAAGGGAACTCTTCCCTGAAACATAAAAGCCCTAGCAACATTCAGCAAATGACGATGCTTTCTTTCAACAACCCCATTTTGTTGGGGTGTATAAACACATGAGGTTTGATGTATAATACCTTTTGTTTTAAAAAATTCACTTAAGTTTTGACTTAAGAATTTCAGAACCATTATCACTTCTAAACACTTTATCATTGTTGCCAAACTGATTAGTAAGTAAATTATAAAAGGTAATGATACTATCGCCAACTTCATGTTTATTATTTAACAGAAACACACAAATAGCACGAGTGAAATCATCAACAACCTTAAGAAAATATTTATAGCCGTGCCTACTTTGGACCCAATAAGGTCCCAAACATCTAGATGTATAAGTTCACCTAGACCTTTGGAGCTATGGATACTAGACTCAAACTTTTCTCAAGTCTGTTTTGCCTTATGGAAGATTTAACAAGGGCCACAATTATAATTATCAATCTTAAGACTATGCCTTAAAAAATTTAAAACCTGACTAGCAGGATGACCAAGACGACTATGCCATAACTGAGCATAAGCTAACAAGACATATTCATCTTTTGAGATGTATCATAGTTAGATTCACAATTTGAAGGTTGATCAAAGTAATAAAGGCCCCCTTCTTGACTACCAGTCCCCACTACATTCTTTCTTAGCGAATCCTGGACATAGCATTTAGACTCATCAAATCCCACAAACACCTTGTTTTCACTAGCTAATTTATGAACAGACAGAAGGTTGACATTGAAGTGTGGGACAACCAACACATCAAAAAGAGTCACATTATTAGATAGATTAAAATCCCCAATTTCCTTTATTTTGGCTTTAGTTCCATTTGGATGACTAACTCTAAGATCAAGTTCAGATATGTCAACAACATTTTTAAGAAAAAATAGTGTTGTAAGTCATTTGTTGGTTAGTACCGGAGTCAATGATCTAACCAGACCTAGGAGATTGAAAATTACCTGCCATATTAGCAGCAGCATCATAACACTTATTTTGCTCAATTAAACTAAGAATTTTAGCAACCTGATCTTCAGAAAAGGTAAAAGAAGAGTTTGGAGGAACAGGCTTAGTAAAATTTGTCTTAGACGAGGTTAGGTCAGAAACACAAACATTATTGGTAGAATTCTTAAAAGATTGATTTTGAGGTTTAGTACGATTCTGAAAATTATTTGGGAAACCAATCAGCTTAAAGCACCTTTCAATAGTATGTCCAATGGCCCCACAGTGTTTACAACTTAGGGAAGTGACTCTACCTGGCCGACATTTGTTGTCAATAGTCTTGCTAAAAAAGGCAGAATTTTGAGACCTGGACTTTGATTGAGACATGCCCCCCCCCCCGATGAGATTCTTCTCTTGAAACCAAAGAAAAAGCTATTTTTACAGAAGGAAGGGGATTACTGATAAGAATATTACTCCTGATGGTTGATAGACATCGTCCAGACCCATCAGAAATTTCCTGAGTTTAATGAGTTTGGTGTGTTCAAAAAAATCTTGAGAAGAATTACAAGTGCATGAGGGTAGTTTGATAAGAGCATCAAATTGTTTCCATAAAGAATTGAGTTTATGATAATATTCAAAAACATAATTACCATTTTGGCTTAAGCAGTTAATTTTCTGATACAAGTTAAACATCACTGACCCATCAACTTTGTCATAGGTTTCCTTTAATTCATCTCAAACCTTGGAGGCCTCTTTGGGGAACACTTGTCCTAGAAAGAGATAATCGGTCATAAAACTCAATATCTAGGAAAGGACAACAGAGTTACATCGATCCCATTGTCTTTCTAAGACAAGATTGTTTATTGGTCTAGAACAGGACACATCAATAAAACCAATTTTGCATTTAGTTCCTAAAGCCAATATCATAACAGAAGCCCAAACTTTATAGTTGTCAGTTCCACTTAATTCTACATTCAATAAAAGAGTACCATTGGTATCACTTGGGTGAAGGTATAATGGGTCTCCAAAGTCAAGACTAGTGACCTTGGATTCCATCAATCTACCAGTGTTAACCTCAGCAACAGACATGAGCACACAAAGGGAGACTGAACAGATAAAGCAGGATTCCTAAAACACTCGAGATGCTAGGTCAAGCTAACTATTCAGCTCCAAACAAGCAAAAAGAAGAACAGAAAGGGGAAAACAAAACAAAAACAGAACCTCCTTACCACAACAATGTACAGTACAATTAGCACACAAAGAGGAATGAGAAGAAGTTACCACCTGAATAATCCAGTACTTTACTTGGTTAAAAGGGACAAATACGAAGCACATGTAACAAGGCCAGGAATATACATGAACAAAACAGGTGACAAATTCCAACCTGGATAACACAGATCTAGAGACAACAAAGACTAAGCACAAGAATTATTTAATAATATATGAGAATGAGATTTAACATCTAGTATTTCAGTAGCGATTGGAAAGCAAGATCTATACAAATCTATAATGCCAAAAACGCAATTAATCATGTACTCAAAGATAACAAACCAAACAGATTACACCAGGAGGCAAACCAGATGTAGAAAAACAAGAGAAGAAGAATTAACTACACCACAAGGAGTATTTCAGGGCGATTTAAACCAAGATCTAACAAGATCTTTAAGTCCAAACCAGTTGCTGATCATTTACTCAACAAAAACTGACCTCAAAAATCTCGAACCAGATTTGTAAAACAAACGATATACTCGAGATGAAGGTCAAAACAGATCCAAAGGATCTCCAACCAGATCTGTAAAATAACAGATATAATCGAGTATTTCATCACAACAAAAAAAGACGTCCAGATCTGAACAGATCTTTAAGGCTAACCGAGTGCCGAGCATTTACTCGCAATAAAGGATATAACAGGTCCTCAGAGACCAGAAAGAAACAACAGCTCTAGAAGAACTTTTAAGAACATGAAACGATTCAACAACTTAGAAACAAATTAGAACAGTCAGTCTTAAAAAAAATATAAGAACACGAAGAACAACAGATCTAAACAGAGAAACGATAAGAGTATTTCAGCTTCGATTGGAACAACGAGATCTACTGGAACAACGAGATCTACAGATCCATCTCGATTTGCCGAGCATTTACTCTCAATGATAGTTGTAACAGGTTCTTAAAAACAGAAAGAACAATAGATCTAGATGGAGAAACAACATGAGTATTTCAGCTTCGATTGGAATAACGAGATCTAACAGATCTACACATCCACCTCGAGGTTGCTGATCATTTACTTAAAGAGTACGAACAAGGATTAAAGAACACAGAGGGAAAACTTACCTGAGACGATCTTGAATATAGAGATGAAGATGGAGAGAGGCTCTTCACATATTGAACAAACCACAGAACCCAAGATTTGGCTCTGATACCATGTATAAACCAATAATCAATACATTTATTTCTTATTAACAAAAGCTTTACAAATACAAACAAAATACATTCTAGAAATTATTCAAAGAATCAAAGTTAAAGTAGCTTGAAGGAAGAACAATCTAGAGAGAAGAGAAAGTATTTGAAACAAATGAAAAAATGAATTGTATGAAGAAATGATCGGCCAAGCAACTCCTTATATAAGTATTGATAAATGGCATAAATGGTCCTTCTAGATTCTAGAAACTTGCTCCGCTACCCTTCATGTTTCCGCATAAGTGAGGCGCAGTCCTCGTATTTGATACACCCAGTTTTATGCATTTGACTGATTTAGTCCTTTAAAACAGAAAAAGGATTATCAAAAGTTAAGATTGTAATAAAGTCCTATACTTTTATAGAGGTTAATGGCACCGATTGGAAAAACAGAGCCCAAGTTATAATATCTCATGTGGTATTCCAATGACCAACGCATTGTTCTTCTTCTCCAATCCTAACTCGCAAAGAAAGCCATGTCTGTGGTGTTAGGTTGCACCATAACAGCGGTTGTTTGGATAGCCCTCGAAGCCATTTTTGGTAACACATGAGAAACTCGTGCCATGAATCTTCACACCACTCTCTCCAAACTACCGAAAGGATTGTGCACCGTCTCCGAATTTGGACGTGATTTCAAACGCCACTATGATCAACTTACTTCCATGGGTCATTCGATGCTGGAAACAGAGAAATCTCATTGGTTTCTCTAAGGTCTAGGTATCGAATTTTCTGGTTTCTCTACCGCTGTTATGAGCACAACCCTGTTGCCCACTTTTCAGACTCTTCTTCCCCAAGCAGAAAGTTTTGAAACATTCATGCAGACTATAATCGCTACTACACCATTCCAAATACCTTCTTTTATTGCTCTGCGCATTCTCGATCTTCACAGAGTTTTCCTCACAACTCTCATGGTGGGGGAAGAAGTCGTAGTCGTGGAAAACGGCCCCATTATCAAATATGTCGAACTAATGGGCACTATGATGATCATTGTGAACAGTGTTACAATAGCCTCCCTCTAACGTCGAAAAACATGGAGAACTTGGTCAAAGCTTATTCTGTTGCTTTCTCTATAAATCGTGACCAATCTGACTGGTTTATGGACTCAGGTCATTAGTACATATGACTCCATCATCCTTTAATTTGGATTCAATAGCACCATATTCTGGAAATAAGAATGTCATGGTTGGTAATGGTAATCTTCTTTCTATTTCACATATTGGCACTACTTACTTAAACTTTGATATCCAATTATTGGACGTCTTAGTCAAACCGGTAGATTAGGAATTTACTTTCTATAAGTAAATTGACGTCTAAATTTCCTGTTGATATTTTTTTCTGTAAACAATCCTTGTTATTCAAAATCGTTAATCAGGGGACGTCATCGCTCGGAGAAAGCATGGAAATGGTCTTTATGTTTTGGAACAAGGGCACTCGACGTTTCTTGCTACTCTACACTCCAAATGCTTAATAGCTTCATATAAGTTATGGCACTCTAGACTCGTGCATGTTTCCACTGATGTTATTTCTTTATTAAATAAATTAGGGAAATTATCGGTTACTTCAGTTTGCATAAACCTTCTATTTGTTCATTATTTCATTCGTCGAAAAGCAGACGACTACCTTTTTCTATTAATGAGAAACGATCCTTATCGGATTTAGATTTAATTCATTCTGATTTCCATTACTATGCTATTTTCGGGGATGATTTTTCTTGCTTTGTGTGGTTCTCCCCGCTCTAATTAAAGTTTGATTTCTATAAGGTCTTATCACATTTCTCTACATTTGTGAAAAGCCAATTTGAGCGCCAAATTAAAGTACTTAAAAGTGATGGCAGGACAATTTTCACAAGTAATAACGGTAATCTTCATCAGCTTTCTTGCCCACATACACCAGCTGAAAACGGTCGAGCTGAAAGGAAACACAAACACACCACATAAACCGGTCTTGCCATGCTTTTTCATGCCCACGCTCCACCTTCTTTCTGGGTCAAAGCATTCAACATTGTTGTATATACCATCAACCAATTGCCATAGTCGGTTTTGGACGATAAATCACCTTTTAAAGTATTATTTCACACGGTTCCAAATTATAAAAAATTTCATCCATCTGGTTATCGTGTATATCCTTATCTCCCTGATTATTGTCCTACTAAATTGGCTCCTTGTAGTGCTCCTTGCATTTTTATTGGTTACAAATACAATAATCAATATAAGGGTGATCGATGTCTTGAACCAGTTAGTAATAGGATATTTATTACCCAGCATGCTCAATTTGATGAGGCATGTTTCCCGTATGATGGTCAACAATCCCATAACTCCAAGTTGGTATTCTCAAATTTTTTTGACTATGGCCCCACTATACAGCAAATGGTGGTACCCAATCAGTCTATACCCAAATTAAGTCATCGTCAATATCTGATACAACGTAGCCTTGTTATTTATGTTTTGGGCCTTCATCACAGGAGTCCTCTACTTCTGCAGCTTCAGATACATCAAACATGAACCCACCTGGACCTATTTCATGCCCATCTTACTCAAGCTTAGCTCCGATATTAGCTTTAGACCAATATCTACCTGGGCCTCTCTCTACTGAATCACAGGGTCCATCTCCGTCAGGCCTATCTTCGTCTGCTCCAAGCACAACTTCTATCTCTCAGTCCACTCATCAAATGCATGTTAGATTAAGATCTATACATAATATTATCATTTTATTGAAACAATCAGTAACCTATTATAGTGAGTACATGCACCTATATATAAATACAATGAAGAGGTGCAACCCTTCATCAAACGACACATAGGTTGACATATTGATAACTGTCAACCATATTAACTGTCAAGTGAAAATTGATCACAAATAACTAACTTAACTGTAACTTACAAGCTTATATATTAACATACCCCCTTAAGCTAGTAAGGGTAGAACTCCCAATCTTTTTTGCAATGTTTTGAAGCTACCAATCTGCAGAGCATTTGTCAAACAATCTGCCACCTGATCTTTAGTACCACAAAACTCGATCTTTACTTCTTGATTGGTAACCAACTCTCTAATGAAGTGAAACTTGATCCTTATATGTTTGCTCTTTCCATAAAATACAGCATTCTTACTAAGAGCAATGGCTGATCTGTTATCAAACAGATTGTAGTTGGAAGGCTTTGTGCATGATCCAATTCAGATAAAAATGGATCGTAACCATAGGGCCTGACAACCTGCAATAGATAAAGACATATACTCTGCCTCAGCAGAGGATAAGGCCACCACATTTTGCTTCTTGGACTACAACGAGATAGCTCCAGATCCCATATTAAAAACATAACCTGCTGTACTTCTTTCATCATCCAAATTGCCTCCAAAGTCACTATCACTATACCCAGTAAGTTTGAACTCGTTGCTTTTAGCATAGAGTATTCCATAATTTCGCGTACCTTTAACATATTTGAGAATCCTCTTCTCTGCTTCCCAATGACTTGTTTTGGGCGAATCCATGAATCTGCTAATAATACTTACAGAGAAGGCCAAGTCCGGCCTGGTTGCAATCAAGTACATGAGACTACCAACCATGCTTCTGTATAGGCTAGAATCTATAGCTTTTTCTTTGATTTCCTTAGTTTTAATCCAAATTCCATAGGAGTACTTATAGGATTAGATTGTCCCATATTAAACTTATCCAACAGAGTTTGAACATACCTTTGTTGTGAATACTTTATCTGCTCATTCTCTTGATGTACTTCAATTCCCAAAAATAGTGAAGTAGTCCCATGTCTGTCATGTCAAACTCTCTTTTCATTGAATCCTTAAATTCATTTATCATTCTCTGTGAATTACCTGTAAATACAAGGTCATCCACATAAATGAAAACTATGATCATCATACCTGCAACCTTTTGAGTGAATAGAGTATGTTCTTGAGGGCATTTCTTGAAACCGTTTGATATGAAGTATTTCTCTATCCTACTGTACCAAGCACGTGGTGCTTGTTTTAGCCCACATAGGGCCTTCTTTAAATGACAAACTTTGTGTTCCTCTCCCTTCTTTGCATATCCTTCGGGTTGTTCAGTAAAGACATCTTCCTCAAGATTTCCATTTGGGAAAGTTGATTTTACATCCATTTGGTTCACCTTCCAGCTACGTTGGGCAGCTATTACAAGTACTAATCTAACTGTTTCTAGCCTGATGAAAGGAGCAAAGACTTCCTGATAATCGATACCATACTTCTGTTTGTACCCTTTCACTACCAATCTTGCCTTGTATCTATCAACCTCCCCTCTTTCATTTAACTTAGTTTTATAAATCCACTTAACTCCAATAGCTTTGTGATTCTATGGGGAGATTAACCAATTCCCAAGTGTTATTTGTCATGATTGCTTCTATCTCTCTGTCCATAGCAATTCTCCATTTCTCATCTTGACTTACTCTTTCATAAGTAATTGGATCTGCATCAGAGAATAGTGCAAAATCTGCCACTTCATCCGGATCAATTCTTCTTGTATTTTCGTAGATGCTACTCAGACTTCTTTGGAGGGCTTTCTGAACTTGTTGATAATGATGTCGACACTTGATCATTATGTTCAATAGTTTGACTTGTAGGAGTGTTGATATTTGATGGAGTTGAAACATGATCCTCTTGATCAATTGTTGATTCTTTCACTCGTTCCATATCATTTATGATTTGAGGAACATTACCATCATTTTGTGGCTGTGATGTATCATTCCAGGCTTTATTTTCTTCAAAGACTACATTTGCTAATGATTGTCTTCTTGGTAACTGGGTTATATAACTTATATGCCTTTGATATTTCACTATATCCCACAAAGATAGTCTCTTCTGACTTGTTTTCCAATTTACTTCTTTTTTGTTCTGGTATAAGTGAATATGCTAAACATCCAAATGTTCTTAGATGAGCCACAGTAGGTTTGTAGCCACTCCATCCCTCTTGGGTGTCATATTAGATAAACTTTTAGTTGAAGTTCTATTTATCAGGTAACAAGCACAAACAATAGCTTCTGCCCAAAAATAGTTATCTAAGTTTTTACTCTTCATCATACTTCTTGCCTTTTCAATAATGGTCATATTGATTCTTTCTACTACCCCATTCTGTTGGGGAGTGTATCTAGTGGTCAATTGATGGTGTACGCCATTTTCTTTTAAGAATTTTTTAGAAGTATGTAGAATTATACTCCCCACCCCCATCA